GTTTGCCGCCGATTTGAGCACTGAGTCTTTCGGGGCTTTTGGGAACTCCAGGTTCCGTGGAGGTCTATCCTGTTGCGCCAATTCTTTCTCCAAGTCTACCAGGTGACCCTCTTTCGGGATCTGTCTCTCTGGAAATCCCCGGAAATTCATTGGCGTTCGCACCAGCCCTCCAGCTGGGCGCGGCGGTGGCAGAGCCGACGCCCCATCAGCGTCAGAAGCCCAATCAGACACCTGTTCCTCAGCCATACTTATCCCTTCTGAGAACAGTACCCCTCTCTTCTACAAGGCTTACAACCCTTATAAAAACTTTACTAATATTTCTAATAAATTAATAAATAAATAAACACCCACTAACAAATCTTACTAATAAAGAATAATAAATTAATACACATCGACCACAAAAACACTCACAAAATTAAATTTTTTTTTCTTTCTAATTAATTTCAAATACTTGGGGGAGAGAAGACAAATCCTAACACAGGCTAAATAATCTACGCATAATCTGGACAGTGGACAACACTTAAGCATTCGTCCCATGCTCAGTTCGTCAGTTTGACTGACGGACGGCATGCAAGGAACGCTACCTTGAAGGCTATTTGGTTTCTGTCGCACTTCTGTGCACCCTTAGAGTATGCTGTGTGACAGGTGCGGCGCAGGATCGGCTCTATATCGTCCTGGGTCACCTGCCTCCGAAGCTCATTTAACTACGGCCAGCACACACCAAACGTTAACACAGAGTGGGACAAAACAAATAGAAAACATTAAACAAACTCTAGTCAGACCTACCCTAATATCACATTTCGTCACAGGTTATTTTGTCATGGCGGCTACCACCAGGCTACGATTGACGGTCGCGAACGTTCACCAACTAGCAAACGTGACTTACCGTCATCAACCGCGACAAGAAAACACCCCATGTCAATGGACACCATGGCAAGATCCGTCTCCGTCGCTCTTCTGGCCATTCTTGGGATATGCTGTGTGACAGATGCGGCGCAGGCTCGGCTCTATATCGTCCTGGGTCACCGGTCTCCGAAGCTCGTATAACTACGGCCAGCATACATCCAACATTGACACAAAATGAGACAAAAACAACTAATTGAATAAATAACATCTGACTAAACTACCCTAATATCACATTTTTTTTACCATGAGATGCCTTTGTCGTTGCGGCTACCACCAGGCGAACGATGGATAGTCGCAAATGTTTCGCCAACATGCGAACGGCCATCAACCACTACAAAAAAAACCCCTCATGCTTATGGATGGATATTCAGATAACCTCTACTTCCGTCGTGCTTCTCGGATTCCACTACACGCTGCGCGATTATGAGCTACCTACTCGTGCCACATAAGACTTCAGCGGTGTGGGTCCTGAAGCCAAGGGAGTCCTTTCCTCTGTACCTTCATTTTTATCGTATTTATTTTTCTTTGATTACACACCGACTTCAAAGAAGCCGAGTGCTTCTTCAAATTGGGCGCCATATTGTTACGGAACTGCTTGTTTCTCAGTGGGCCGCGCCGGCTGGCTCATCGGATTCTCTGGGTGTGGTCCCATCCCTGGCCCGCAGTCCGCACAATCGATAACAACAAAGCTACACGTCTGTAGCAAAACAGACTCACACAACACTACTCAAAATGAACCGCATAATCGATAACAAATATTCGGAACTACTAACTCATGAATTAAATACACAGCTGTAACAACTATGAAAATGTAAACAACAAAGGTAAGACACTCAATATAAATTAACAAAAAAACACTATTTATCCACCTTACTCTTCCAGATCGGGCCCCGGTTCCGGACCCAGCGTACCCGCCCTACCATGAGACGATCACCTCCACTCGTCTCCCTCATTTTGGCCACCAAATGGCCTATATTAGCCCGTGTCGGCCATAATGCCCACTCTCCCCAGCAATATTATTTTAGCCGGACATGATTTCTTTCAATAGGTGCGTATAATTGGTTGCGTTTTCTTAAAATGTATAACAATCATAATCATTGCTTATGGCATTTATCTTGCAGCTGTTTAGGATCTCATGCAAGCGGATAATTCATTAACTTCACAGGTGCGTATTACTGCTGCATATATTTATACTAATTGACACAGCGCATTAATTCCTAAATTTTTCTCTTATCTTATAGAATTAATTTTTTTTATTTTTTTACAACACTGAATGGAACAGGCGACGAAACACTACAAGGATATTGCTAGTCGCCGCAAAAGAAACGCGCAATGAGGCACTTTAGAGGCAATCGTTGCCCCGATTTAGGAACAATGGCCCGCACAATTACTTAAAACTGGGTATGTCACGTATTGTGTATTGTATGTATTAAATCGCTTAATTCTACCTTACCCTACCTAAAGAGCTCTCTGGGGGTGGTAAGGGGCGATATAAATGCGTAAATTCAAATTAGGTAAGTATGTGAGCATAGTTCGCGCAAGAGTTAATTTTAGATTTTTTTTTTTATATTTTACAGGCGCAGATGCATCACCGTTGGAGTTTTCCTCACCGTTCGCACTCTAAAGTGAAGCTCGGCGTAAGTGCCTATGTATGTATGAATATATTTTATAAATACAAATTAACCAAATTTAACGATAAAAAAAAAATCTACTCCTTTTCAGGGAGTGCAATTAGGAGTCTTCTTCTGACTCTGCCAGGGGCTCGAACGAGGATGGGCAAAACAATGGAACGGACTCACTCGGTGGATGTGGGCGGGGTCTCGCCTGTGGCCGCTTCTTCGTTGTTGGAGCCCGGTCGTTGGTGGCTCGTCTCGTCGCCTTCACGTTTGCGCCGACGCTTGCTGGCGGCGTCGCGGATATGGCTGGTTTGCGCCGCTGCACTGAATCCTGGCCTTGAATATTTCGTGGGCCTCTCTGGTGCGCGAGCTGGTCTCCTTGGTGCCGGAGCCGTTAATTTTTGGCTTATTTGGTTCGTCTCTCGTCGCACTTAAATTTTTAAGTCTCTTTTAATTTTTTTATTATATTTTCTTTGTGATTCGAGCGGTTTGATTTATATAAATTTATTACATGGCAAAGAACACAAAAAACAAAACTTTTATTCGTCTGTTAAGCCATTGGTATTATGTGCCGGCTTAATTTTTCAGAAGGGAAAAAATTTTACTCTGTCAAGCAGAAATGCAATGTCCAACTTTTTTGCTCACTTCGAGCTGGCACGCCCGCCGTTAACCGCTGAACAAATCGAACTCCTCGACATTTTTGGCAGCCACACCATCGGTGCCGAATTTCGGCACACGCATACATTTGCGAGGCGGGCACCGTTGCTGCTCATCTGCACAGCTGCATTTTTTTGGGTCAACGGCCCAAATGAAGGCCAAGGGCATATCCAAGGGCATGCGATCCACTCTCCTCGTATTCCCTTTAAGAGCGAAACGGGCGGCCAATAGCAATCGTCGCTTTTGGCGCCGTGGATCGCATGTCTGGCGTTGCCACCCTTCAAAATTTTGGGCTCCGCCGTGGGCCCAGCTTCACCCCGCATACTCCGACCATATGCCAAAAAGATATCGGCGTGGCCGATAATATCGCACGCAACCAACTGAGTAACCCTCGGTGCTGCCGATAACGTCAAATGCAACAAATGCCATGGAACACTTTGATTTTTTCCGAGCGTCATACAACGCATGACGCCTGTACGAAGGGAAGCAGAATGGGGTATTTCGATTTTAATCACACAATATGTAACTGTAATAGAACTTGATATTCTTATTAAGATATAAATAGCTAGATTAGGCTGAACTTATCGATTGCTCACGACCTGTCTATGACATCGATAAGAATCGAACTGTAAATTAGGTTCTTTCGAGCAAGAAGTTATCGTAGAGCTTTACCCGTTCCATAGCATTTCACTTTTGAAATACCTGCCCCGTTCCATAAGGGTAAATGCAGAGCCCTTGGCCTTAGTATATACACACGTTTGGATGCCATATTTAAGCCCCAATAATTGCATAATGTTGCCACGACAATCAATAATGCATTTCCCTTACATAATGTGGGCCCAATGAAAGAACAAGCACAGTTGCATTAATCGTTTAAGCATTTATTAATGGGTATACAAAAGCTTGGCACACCAGTAATAATTGTTTTTTTTTTTATCCGTTTTTCATTTTTGCATGGTTAAGCGAAAAAGTTTACACATAAAAAACTATATGATAGATAATGTTTGCATATATTTATGTGTATTTATACTTATGTATGTATTTATTTGTCAGTGAACAGAATTTATGTATGTGTGCAAGCACAGACCCACACGATCTAATGACATCGTCGGGCATTTATTGGAAAACTTTCACTGCAAATAGAGTGTAGGGCAAATAAACAAAATATTTTACTGCGACTAGTTTTGCTTGCCATATGAATATATGAATATTGAGAAGGAAACCTTTTATTACCCAACAGTACTTGGGTTTTGCCATGGCATGGACAGGCAGCGATAGATGGGACAGCATTGGAATTCACAAAATGCATATACATATATTTTAGCAGAGTTTCAAGTGCAATTCTGTGTACAGAGGGATTTCTGTTTGCAAAATCTCTCGAGCCGACAATTTGGACAACTTTTTAGATTATGCATAATAGAACAAGTACACAAAATTAAAACAATTTTCATTTGTGACAACTCTTAGTTTAGCTAACCACATTTGTTAGCTTTGACTCTGAGTTGTATTCAAAATTTGAACATTTTTTTTGTTTCTATTGTTGGGCTGTTATTAAATAAATACGCTTTGTTATTGCATTAAAACATTACCAGAACAAAAAGAAATAATGTCCCAATCCATTTTAATAAAAGTCATTTGAACAATTTCCATTATTCGCATTTGAAAGCTAATGAAAACATCATGATTCGGAGTCCTATTATGTGCGATATTCATTTGAAAAAAAAAAAAAAAAACATCGTCGAGCTCAGCAATCGATTACTGAGTATCGATTACAACAGCTTCTCTAATCGATGCTCAAATATTCTTGCTTATCTCTAGTGTTGAACAATAAGAAGTTGAATGTGTTTAAAGCTGATCATAAATATGGATTAAAAACTGTGCAGCTGATATTGTTATAAAGAAGTCGATTCAACGTTAACTAATATTACAAGCACTATATGATTTAGCACAAACATATGCATTTGAAGTGAAATTTATGCCAAAAATGAGTCTGATCCAGTTGAGCCTTTCGTTTGCTTTGGCCAATTGCAACTGAACTTTAAGAATGGAATTTTCATTTTGTTTTTATTATGATGACAGTCAAAGGAAAATCCTCAACCATATCCAAGGATCTGTGTTCACTTCAGGCAGGCAGTCAGTCAGTCAGTCGGTCCGTCAGTCCGTCAGTCAGTCAATATGCCAGAGTCCTGTCATATTGTTTGCCTTTGAGCCGCATTCCAAATGAATAATTGAAACAATTGCAGGCAACTTCTGAAGCGCATGTACATCACAATGTGTCCGCCTCTTCTCGAAGCCAACAAATGTGCCCACATCCCGCGCCTCACGCCTCAGCACAGCCATCAAGCAAGGACATTTGGCTAAATTTGGTAAATTGTTCTACAGTGGCATTTTGGCACTTGATTTTCTACAAAAATACTTTGATGTTGAGCTTTTCTCATTCTGCTCAATTGTGCCACAGCATTATATTATTTTGTTATATTAAGTCTCTGACTTATATTTCAATAAATAACCTTATAGTTTAAAAAAAAAAAAAACCATTTTGAATGTCCTTTCCTTCAAGGAATTTTAAAAAAATGTTGATTTTTAATTGTTTGTTTTTTATAAAACTTCTTAAATTTAAGAACTGAAAAATACCAATTTATTTTCTCTTGCTTTTCGCATTATTTTAGAGTAAGCCCAATTTCCTTTAAAGAAACGCAACATTTAGAAGATGAAGAAATGCAGACAAGCTTGTCTACAGGAAAAAACTATGGATGAGAAAATGTTAGGTGCTTGGTAAGCTTGCATCGAATCGAATCGCCATTGCAGCTCAGACTTAATAATAGCATAAAAGTTTCAGTACTCAAATGCAGGTGCTGCTGACCCAAAGCAGGTGTCTATAATTACTTAATTCGGTAACCGACCCAACTGTCTGGCTTCCCTCATGATAATTTCATATATGCCGTCTAGTGCAGCGGTGCCATCAAGTATAAAAGCGATGTCAGGTGTGGACATCTTAAACACTTTGACCGGCAACTGGTATCGGACGACATGTTCAGGCGCAAGAAGCAGCAACGCGATTTGTACACCTTTGAGGATCTGACACGATTCCCGATGGTCTTTTACAAGACAATCGGCGAAGATCTGTACTCGGAGCGGGACAAAAATCTGGTGCGCCGCTATTTGCTGCGCTTGTATCTGGTGTTGGGCTTTCTCAACTTCAATGCCTATGTTGTAGGCGAGATCGCCTACTTTATAGTGCATATAACATCAACAACGACCCTGCTGGAGGCGACCGCTGTGGCGCCCTGCATTGGCTTCAGTTTCATGGCCGATTTCAAGCAGTTTGGTTTGACGGTGAATCGCAAAACGTTGGTCAAACTTCTGGACGATCTGAGTGACATTTTTCCGCTAACCAAGGAGAAACAACAAGCATATCATGTGGCCTACTATGATAAGCACATGAATCGCGTCATGTGGGTGTTCACCATACTCTGCATGACATACACATCGTCATTCAGTTTCTATCCGGCCATCAAGTCGACAATTAAGTATTACTTTATGGGCTCCGAGATATTTGAGCGTAATTACGGCTTTCACATACTCTTTCCCTACGATGCGGAAACGGATATAACCGTCTATTGGTTCTCCTATTGGGGACTCGCCCATTGCGCCTATGTTGCCGGCGTATCCTATGTGTGTGTGGATCTATTGCTCATCACCACCATCACCCAGCTGACCATGCATTTCAATTATATGGCCGATATGCTTCAGGAATACGATGGTGATGCGCACACCGAAGATGAGAATCTTAAATTTGCCCAGGATCTAGTGGTTTATCATTCACGTGCATTGGAGTAAGTTCTGTCTGGTATTGAAAATAATAACATCTCATACATATATATATACATATAATCCATTTACCCATCAGTTGTGTCAACCGTCTCGTTAAGCTTCTCTGCGTTAGCAATTGAATGCCAGTTGAAGAACCTTCCGGTTGCATTAACGAAAAATTCTCTTAGCTGCTCGCAGCACAGCTAACAGATATGTAAATGTCTATAAAAATAAAATTGTTTGTTCCGTCCGAGCTGCAAACTGGGATGGGAACTCTGGTTGTATGCTGAAAATTTCAAACTAAATATGTCCAAATTAAAAAAGCAAACGCCCAGATGCAGCCGGAAAACGGGCAAAAAACTGGCAGTTGCAACATTTTTTGCTTTTTATTCTGCCAACTGAAACTCACTTTTAAATATCTATGACATTTGCGAAAAGTTCACGTCGCTGTATTAACAAAAAAAAAAAAAAAAAACGGCAGGTTATTTTGAGATATTTAAATTATAATACAGCTGACAAATGAGTGGCAAAGAGTGATATATATAATTGAATGAAAATTAATTTTTCACTGATTAAAAATAATGAATTTTAGACTTATTGGTATCATTTTGAAAAGATATTGCATTTCTAACTAAATAAGCGCCCACTGTAGATAAAAAATTGGGTTCTTGCATAATTATTTGTTTCACTTTTTAAACAACTACTTAAAAGGCACAATGAGAAGGAAAACACCCTGCTTTTGCTAGATTTCAATTAAATGATCTTAGTTTTCAGTCAAGAATTAAACAACTTGAAGTCTTTTAATTCCCCGCAGCTAGGAACCACCAAGGTCGAGCCAATTGGCCACCTATTTTACAATAAATCCCATTTTGTTTAATGTCAACTTTCATTGTGTGGAGATTGTTAGAAATATGTGAAAGTTGTAGTTGCTACAAATTGAATTTCTACAGTTTGGACAGATTTTGATAAGAGAAAAATATGACTTTATTGTAAATAAAATGTACTTTTGTTTCTCTTGCAGCCTCAGCGAAGAGGTAAACAACATCTTCAGCTTTACAATTCTGTGGAATTTCATAGCCGCCTCTTTGGTCATTTGCTTTGCCGGCTTTCAAATTACCGCCTCCAATGTGGAAGATATTGTGCTCTATTTCATATTCTTCTCGGCATCGCTGGTGCAGGTGTTTGTTGTGTGCTATTATGGCGATGAGATGATCTCATCGGTGAGTGTACGCATGCCCGGCTGAAGCAATACTAATTCCATTTCCCATTTAGAGCTCTCGTATTGGCGACTCGGCATTCAACCACAACTGGCTGCCCTGCGGCTCGAAGTACAAGCAGATCATGCGTTATATTATAATGCGTAGCCAGAAGCCCGCCTCTATACGGCCGCCCACATTTCCGCCCATCTCGTTTAACACATTCATGAAGGTAATCAGCATGTCGTATCAGTTTTTTGCCCTCCTGCGAACCACATACTATGGCTGAGCCTTATTACTCTACTAACCACACTTTAAATACTTTATGTAGATTGCATGTTAATAAATTAAACAGCATTAGCACACTAATTACCAATTAAAATTGAGCAACTTTTAGTCAGAGAGTTGCTCGATAGGAGATTTAATAATTATATTTCTTTAGATTGTATACAGATTTAACAAGATATATCAGATTGCATGGGATAAAACAAATCTACCATCCAATGTTGGAAAACTTACAAAAAAATGTGCTATGCCTTTAACAAAAAGTTTTCTAATAAGTATAAAAAAAACATTATGGGGAGGTATCTAAAAAGTGAAATATTCTTCATTTCCTTACACAACGTACATAATACTTGAGTTCTGCTTAAAAGAAACTTAAGATAGATATTTTTCGAATCTCATTGATGGTTATCGGAATTAATCGATATTTATCGTTATTATGAAAATTGGAGATCACGAAAACAAGGTTCAAAATATGTTTTTTAAACATAATTATTATTATTCACAGGCGGACAAACATGGCTGGATAGTATTTGCTTGTCCTCTCGATCAAGAAATCCATCCTTTGTTGTTTTCTTCTGTCTGTCGCACATATTTATCAAAAAAAAAAAATAAACCCTTTATAGCCATTTCCAAGTGCTTTTGAATTGTCAATTGAATTTGATTGCACACACAAAATTGTCATTTAAGCATTTGCCTTCAAGTAGTTAACTTTATCAGGCTTATTTCAATCGTTAAGCAATTAAAATTAAGTTAATTTGCATAGTCAATTTGCAATTCGCACATTGTTATCATATTTTGTCTAAGTCAATTGTTTGCTCAGATAGCTCGCAAATCCATTCAGTTGGTTCAGTTATTTGTAAGGTCTGGGAAATAGTTTGTCTGCCTCACACTCATAATTGGGCTCATCGTTTATGTATGTATTTATTTGTAAAGCCTACAAATATATCAATTGACGCCTTGGCAATTTATGGCATTAGCTGACTGGTGGCAACATTTTCACACCTTCTTCGTAAAGCCGCTCATGTGATTGACAAGTATATGGTTATTGCAATTATTTATACGCATGACATGATATATGACTTCTTCTGGTGTATGGGAATCGCACGTGTTTCGCTTTAATTTCTTTTTCATATTAATTTTAAAGAGCTGCAAAAACATTAGGCCCTTGCGTGAATACAAAGCTATTTATTCATATTGAAATATATTTATATATATATACTTGTTGAGTTGTATTTGTGGCTGGATGTATTTGCATATATCCATATTTTTTTTTTTTGTTTTGTTTCATGTGCGCTGCAGCTGTCAATTGCGTCCTGTTTGTTGTTGTAATTGTTAATTGCATATCAGCAATTAATAAATATTTACACACAACTTTTCCCACACACACACACACACACACACACACACACACACACACACACGCGATTAACACCCACACGATAACTCATACACACAGTCGCTCAGTTGTCTGTCTGCTTTTGAATAATAATCAATAAATGTCAAATGCAATCAAACTCCATAAAACCTGAGTGTGCTTCGAGTGCCGCTGTGTGTGTGTGCGTGTGTTTGGCGAAGGAAGAGGGTGTGTCGAGGACGGAGATGGAGGCATTCTCAAATGGTTCCCATAAAAATGACCCTTGCTACGATTAGCCAAAGTCCTGCATGTCGCAGTCTGTCACAAGTTTATTTAAATTTTAAAAGCCATGAGAATCGCATAGAGAGGCGAGGGGCAGTAATGCTATAAAATAAAGTGAAATAAACTTGATTTTGAACAGAAAAACTTATCTATGAATAATTCTTAGATTCAAATATATCCTTAAGCGCGTTTTCTTTCCATCTTTTACTCTAAAATTAGCTGGGATTAGTCCAAAAAAGATGTCACCATTATTTTCTGATTGACAATATATTTGAAAGGTCTTTAATTTCCTTTTTAAATAAATCTGATATGTCGTTGACAGATCAAGGCTGCTGCCACAGCAGCTCATCAAATTGCAGATTCAAAACGAATTTGAAATTCCATTCGGGGACACGTACAGACTGATTTAAAACTTGATATTATTGCTGGACTGCTTCAAAACCAAATGTGTCCCAAATTGTTGTCAGCTAAGTAGTTGTCGTTATTGTAGTTGTTGTTTGTGTCCTTTGGCGGTTACAAGTTTGTTGCAAGGCAGCCTCAACGTGCCCACATACACACACACACACACACACACACACACACACACACACACACACACACACAATTCATGAACACTTACATACATAGTTGAAGTCCCAAATGCGCCACTAATTTGTGGGCATGTTTAATGTTTGCCTGGCTTTTTATGACCATCTTCTGACGAATCCGTTAAGACGGCATCCTATACACTCGAGCACACGTGCCAGCTGCCAGTTATTATCAATTTGGGGCTAAAAGCAGCATTTTACCAGGTACAGTTGTGCTGCCTGTCAGCTAGCTATTCACCTAGATAGTTACTCGTCTGTATTTACTTAATAAGTTGGTAGTTTGTACTCTCTTATACCTGTGCACTCACTTCGACTTTTGTATTCACGCCTGTGACTTCATCTAAATAATAATAATCATAGTAGCTGTAATCTTTATCCTCAGGTTAAATTTCATTGTAGCCGCTTTAAGTTATGAACAAAGAACGTTTCCCTTTAAAATCTGCTTCGCACATTGTGTGTTGACTCTAGGCATATTTAATATTAAGATCTAGGGCTTAGGGCTTGCCTATTTGGTAACTGCCTATCCTTACCCAACAAAAAATACACTTATATTCATTTATTGAACTGGGTATGTTCAACTAATTTTGGTATATTTTATACGGTCGTTTTTCCAAAATGCATTCAACTTTCAATAAATTCATTTCGATTCATCATCTGAAGTTTCCGACTTGATGTCAGGTGTATCCTCGCGATTGGCAAAAGCGCCATCTATGGGCCAAGTATTGCGACGCTTACCACCCAACTTTACGATATTCTCATTCTCCTTGTTGAGCACTGCCACGATGACCTTTTGCACCAGCTTTTTGGCCTCGGACAATATTGGTTCTTTTGATTTCTGGGACTCCAGTGGCATATCATCTTCGGACTTGAAATGGGCATCGCTCGCACTGTAATCGTCAGAGCGCAAATCATCCTCCATATCATGATCAAAGTAATTCTCCTGTATAGTGCGCTGCAGCTCGTCGCATGGAAAATTGGTATGAGCCTCATCTGCTGGCCGATACTTGCCATGGCGGCTTTCCACATCGCTGGCCGTAACCTCGCCATCCGATGATATCAGAATGGATTCATCGTCATCGGAGCCATCGGTGGGATACGAGTAGCCAAGCAAGCAAATGGTTGCATTGCCCATCGATTCAAGTACCACGCGTTCGCCCTTGCTGAAGTTCAAGTCGAGTGCAGTTTGCGGAGTACCGTGTGATAAGGTTGCCACAACATATTTTTCATTCTTAATAGTCATATATAATTTGGCATATTCTCCCTCATCAATAGCCACACTGGAGATGTGAAATGCCTTGGTCACTTGCTGGGTGTACTTACAGTACGGTTTCATAATTAATCCGTAAAACGAGGACATCTTTAAGTGCTTGGTTCTTTGGTTCTTCTTCTATGCTCCAGTTAAGCTTTGATGCTATTCTATTAAGCCACGTGGCAGTAACTGCTGATGGGCACAGCTTAAAAGTTATCGATAGCTATCGATTAATCGTACGTGCGGGCACCGACGCAGAATAACTTGCCACGAAACAGGACTCTTTGTGAAGAAGTTGCCACATTCTAACTGTGACTTGTCGAGGTTACTTTTGGATGTTTGAAAATGTCGCGACTCGCTTTTTGGAAGAACGAAATGCTCAGTTTGACAACTTTAGTTGTCACTGATTTAATTGTTATACCCTTGCAGGGAGTATTAACAATTTGTCTTCGACGCTCAGAACCGGAGTCGAGTCTGTTTCCAGGCAAATGAGTCTCTCACATCTTAGCTATTGTCACACAACATTGCATGACTACATTTTCCTGATGTAGGCAATGATTAGATCGGACCTCTATATTATGTGGCTGCCATAGGCATGATCTTAAGAAAATTAAGTTTCTGCTTCTTTACTTATCCAATACATTTGAGTATAATCTTATCAACATCGGCTCACTACATCATAAAGCTATTAGGGAAGAACTATCATATTTTATGGCTGCTATAGGAACAATCGATCGAAAAATGACTCTTGTATAAGAACAACTCATTGTTAGCTATTTATAAGGGTATAAGGGTACTTAGACTTCGGCAATCTAGGATAACCTTTCTCACACGCTAAAAATTGCAATGAAATATAAGATCTATATATGATATAGAGAAAATCGTAAAAAATAAATACATGACCAAATTATTTGAGTAAACCAGCATTAAGATACTTTTTTAGTTTATTTTTCAATAATTTGTAGACACTATGCAGGGGCTTAAGAAATGAATTTGTGTATATTCATTCGCAATTGTTGTTCGTCTATTTTGGACCTGTTAAATATATATATTTTTTTTATTTATGACATGTTTTCTGGCCTGGTTAATGATGCAGCTGCCAATTGAACTTTGATATGCCATGTTTTATGATGTGGCAAGCCCGTAGGAGCTGCACAGCTCCCAAGTTGCCTGAGCATAAATCATAGCTGCCAGCGACGGGTAACCCGCACACACACACACACACACACACACACACACACACACGAAGTGAGAGAAAGAGAAAATCATATTACACATTTTTAACAGCGAAATTTTGTGAAAGTAGGTAAAAGTAATATGCATGAGCGGGTGTGTGTGTGTGAGCGTGTGTGTATGTGTGCTGCATACTTATGTGCATGTTTAGTAGCTTTAATAACTTCACTTACACTATTCTCATATTCATATTCATATGTATTTAGGGAAACACATGCGACATTCTGGTATTCACTTCCTTGCCTCATTGGCTGTATGTGCCATGTGTGTGTGTGTGTGTGTGTGTGTGGCACCGAGGCTGTGGCTGTAGCTGGAGCTGGGGATGCGAGTGTGGCGTCTAGCATCGTGAGCTCGGAGTGCCTGTTGGGTATTTGTACATTTTAACGGATTTA